TTTTTTTTTTGTTTTTATTTATTTTTTTTTATATTTTTTTTTTTCTATTTTACTGTTGGAGTTTGAATTTATAAAAAATAATTTATTTTCGTAGTTATTAACCGAACCGAACTGAGATACGAACCAAGCCGAACCGACTTACGTGATTATGGTGCGGTTATTGTTTTGACCGAATCGACCCCAAATCGAACTGTTGCCATCCCTACATATTCTAATTGATAATTTGTAATTCATACATGTGGAAGACATTTTGTGTGTGTGAATGTTACCGGCTAGATCTTCCTCTCATTACTTCTAAAAAATGATTAGCTATCAATAGGGTAAGCTAATAAACAATATGGAGAGGAGAGTGGACCATGCCTTTATATATAAAATTATAAAGTCGACACATTACCGACTCTAACCCTAATTAGGGTTTACATAATTCCGGCCCACATACTTAAAATTACCACATTATAAAAATATAGCCCATAAGATATACAACGGCCTAAAAAATTTGCGAAAACCCAAAAAATATTGGGTCTAATCACAGTATCATTGCAAACTATACATCTAACCCGAAAAATTTGCGATCAAATGAAAGCCCACATAATACAATTATTCTAACATTAAAGCCTTTAGTAATTTGTAATTAGATCCTTAAAAAATGAGTTAAATGTTTCAATAACCACTAAACTTTGGCATATGTCACGACTTACTCATCGAACTTCACAATGTTTCCCATTGACCATCTAATTTTAAGTCGTTGCACTCCATCACCGATTGAATGTTTTTCATTTAAATTTCTGCCAATGTGGATGACGAAAATCACATGTGGTAATTAATTCCGTTAAAAATTAAAATGAGATGCCAACATAGACGACATCCCATCAAAATCATTATTCCCAAACACGCCTCTCCTCTTCCTTTTTCTGAAAAACCCAAAATCAGAGGCCCCCAATTTAACCCTAAGCCCCAAATCAGTCTTTACAACACAATCGAAAGCCCTCCAAATTCGAACGGGAAGAAATTGAACTTGTTGGTACTCACGGATTCCTGAAGAGGTAAATCCAAAGCTGCATCTTCTTCGACAGATGATGATATATATTGGTTGGAAACGAGTTAGTACACTTTTGCATTTTTTCTTTTATAATTTGCTATTTTATGCATTGGATGTATATTGGTTGGAATGCATTTGACGGAGATGATATTAGGTAGTGGAGTTGACGACGGTACGGGGTGATGCCTTTTAGGACTTGATTATTTCAGGGGGACTACTTTGAAGCTCGTGAATTTTCCTTGCTAGAGTGGGGGCTTAGGTGATTTAGATTTTAATTGAATAATTATACTAATGGATTTTTCTAGTTTGCAGGTAGCATGTTTTAGTCAAGCTGTCAACTTCAGAGTTAGAAATTATAAGGCTGATCTATCAGCTCCCTATCAAGGCGAAGCTGTACTCCAAGCTGATCAACAAAAAATCTTACTAGGGGTCTGGCTTAGCTATGTAAGATATGATGAAGGAAGTTCAAAAGCAAAATAGGGAGTTCATTGAAATGATCTAGTTAGTTCAGACACTTAAAAATGAACTTAAGGAAGCCAAGGAATATGTTGTATGGTCCATAAATGAACTTAAGGAAGCCAAGGAATATGTTGTATGGTCCATCGTATGTAACTTTCGACATAACATTTTGTAACAGTATAGGTTGTCAATTTTTTGTAACTAATGTGTCATCTTGTAGCCAAAGTGCTTTGGAAACTTTTGTGTAATATTGTATGTATCCAATTATGTGTATTATATAGAGAAAGTTGAACGATGATGTAAGCTGTGGTGTGATTTTTTATCGTTTCATTCCCTTCCAGTGAAATGGGAAGCATTTGAAATAGTGAAGTTGCTGTGATATGGTGATTGGTATAGTTAGGGTTGCTTTGTTGTTGAAAATGGAATTTACTGAGATTATTTTGGGAGTAGAACAAAGACTTTTAACCTCTTCAATCCCGTTATCATTATTATTATCGTAAATGAACCACCTCTTAACTCCAAGCTAAGCATGGTACATAATCCACTCACTAAGAGTAGGCACTTAGTTCCACACCATTGTACACACACAACTTGTATTTGCACTCACTCTTCTTCTTCTTGGACTTGAAACCAGAAATCTTGGCCACAAGAAGGCACAAGCATAAGCTCTTAAATCCGAGAACGACCATAGGGTATCATTCCAACATAATGACAAGGCTTTCTTCTCCCTCTTGGGCCGGAAAATCAAGAACCCCAATCCCACATGCGGATTTCTCGTTTTCTTCTTCTTCTTCTTCTTTCCATTTGTCATCTTCTTAGACCACCATTGTTCAAGTTCTCCTCAAAGGCCTGTACCAATAAGTATGCCTCTGCTCCCGAAAAGCTAAACTTGGTGATTTTATGAATGTCGATGCAAGTGAATCGAAAGAATTCAGTGTGTTTACATGGTTTAATAAAACGAAAGAATTGAAGTATATCAAGATGCGCAAATCATGGAACATGCCAACAAATAGAGGTAAATGCAAAGGTAAATGCTTCAATCTTCTCAAGTCCACAATTTTTGCTGATATAGTAATGCTACTCAGAAGTTATCTATCGATTCAAAATCGAGATTTAGCACAGAAATTATATCCATTTACAAATTAATAGCATAGGCAGAAAACGATATCGACAAACCAAATTCATCTTGACAATAACAAAGTTTTTTCATGCCATCTACACAATTTAGCACCCACGGTTCTCGACATTTCTACAAAATGAATCATCGCACTTTGTCTTGTTTGTGCCCTTCACGATCTAACTTTCGAACTTCAATGACGGCCAAAGAAAATACAACTTTGAGTTCTCTTCCTCAGGAATCCACGAGTACCAACAAGTTCAATTTCTTACCGTTTGGATTTGGATGGCCTTCAGAGACTGATTTGGGGCTTAATTGGGGCCTCTGATTTTGGGTTTTTAGAATGGGAGAGAAGAAGCGCGTTTGAAAATAATGATTTTGATGAGGTGTTGTCCATGTTGACATTTCACTTAAATTTTGGACGGAGTTAATTGCCACATATGATTTATGTCATCCATGTAGACAAAATTCAGACGAAAAACATCAAGTGAGTGATGGAGCGCAAAAACTTAAAGTGACAAGTGAAAAAATTGTGAAGTTCGGTAAGTAAATCGTGACATATGCCAAAGTTGAGTAGGCATTAAAACATTTAACTCCTTTAAAAATATAAAGCAATCAACCACTTAATAAAATAAACATGAATTTCTTCTTTATTTACTATTTCCCTTTTTCTCTCAGTTGTAGAGGTAAATGTTCGATAGGAAAAAGAAAAGCTTAAAAAGTTGAAATATAATACACCGTAAAAAGAAAATATACAGATAAAATAGCTCCGCAACAATTTGAACATGATAGAACCATTATTTTAAAAAATTGAATAATGGTAATCAATCTAATGTTTGAATCACAGAATTATCTCAAATGATCATCAATATTAAAATCATGTGATGTCTCACCTCGGTGATTTGTTAGAAGAATATCGGGTACAACTTCGATGTCCCTATCAGGCTTTTGGAGAATTGCCGAAGATCATTACACCTAAGTAAATAAATCAAATTGTGAAACCAAGAACAACATCCAATGCGATGGCTTAGTTCAATTTTATTTTGGACAGGAATCGAATAAATATCCATACACAATCTTTTACATCCTCCCACCTGAACCAACCACCAAGGTTGCATAAAGGTGAAATGAGACTAACAGATTATCTCCCCGAGTAATGAGAAACTATTATTCAATCACCACACTGTATATAAGATCATGAATTAACAAACCATCAATTCTGATATTCTGGGAAAGGGAAGTTGTTGGTATCACATAGCCCCCAAATACACCAAGTAATTACAGGAATAAAAAGAACACAAGAGGTTTTTCGTCCGAAGGCCTGAATGTTCACCCAAATTAGGGCTAATCACTTGTTGAGCATATATCAAAGTGGTTATCGTCCAATCCACTAGAAACTACAATAATCAATACAAGTATCACAATACAGAAATCCACAAAAGGATTAAGCCCTCGGACCCTAAGTTTTCTCTCAAGAAACCCTCGAATGATTACACTAAGTAACCAAAGTTACGCTCAACACAGAAACCAGATTCACCACAACAACACCTTAACTAACACTAGATCTCACCAAGAATATCTAGAATAGAAGATTACACGGAGAAAACGAAAGGTTTTTAGAGAGAATATAGAGAGGGCAGAATGAAAGAAAAACCTAGGAATAATCTCGAAGCACCGAGTAAAATGAAAAGCTAAGCCAATAATACAAACACTTAGAAGCATCCAACGGACACATCCATCACACCAGCATCATCTAAGCCTTATACACAATGAAATGGACTATCGGGTTGCATTCAGAATTGGGCTGGAGTCAACAGAATATTGGGTTGCATCATAGGGCTTAAAATAGTTATCAGTTTGGGCTACATCATTTGGGCCCAAAATTGTTAAACAACCAATGTTTAACAGAAGTTAATGATTACGGTGGAAGGAAATAGCCCATATACAAATCCTTCGTAGAAACCAATTTCCAATTACAAAACTTTTATACGCTTTGGCATTCTAAAGGGCACTTCCATATACCAAGGCTTTCATGATGACAACAGCATTCTATGCATTTATGTAGAGGTTTATTGTTTTATTTCATATAAACCATTTGTCATCACTCAATATAAAGTAGGATAGCGAATTCCAAGACCAGGGTGCTTTGCTTCAAAACTACAAGGGGATTGCCACTAACAAGAAATACTTGTTCATGCAAACAGATTTTTCTATAAAATATTAAACCATAACTTTTCTATAAAATATTCTATGTATTTATTTGCCTCTTTGGAAATACACGTGGGAAAGTGAAAAAGTTAACACGCAAGTCTTCCAATCATACCTGGATAACAGTTCTATGAGATTCTGATTGGAACATCTCAAAGCACGATCATAAACAATCTTTGTCCTTCTAGTAACATCATGCCAATTTTACAGTGTCTTCATCTGTTCATAAATAAATTAGAAAAAATTAATGTCGCTAATCAGTTTGACATATTTACATGGGAAAATTAGATTTTCAACCCTGTTCAGAATTTAATCCCTTTTAATTAAGGTTACTGACACATTATGTACTATAATTAAATATTAAACGACCATTCTTGGATATTTAGCTAAGTGAAAATAATTGATGTCGGGCAGAATAACGATTATTCTGTAGACTGGATCCAGCAGATAATTAATATGGAAGAACGTAAGAGAAAATGCCAAGAAAACAAGAAAATTCTTTATTATTCAACTAACATGTGAAAATAACCTTCAAACCGGGTTAAATAGCTAGAAAATCGTAACTATCGGAATTTTACCAAAAATAGCAAAATCTCAATAATCATGCCAAAAAAAAGTACAATAAAATAAATAATATCCCAAAAATCTGGCTCAAATCGAATTCATATATTACCAAAAAAGAAAAAAATGACTAAAATTGGGGATTCGGAAGGGAAAATAGCGAATTTTGCCCTCGAAATGCTCATCGAGTGCGCCGAAAAGCGCTTTTCGAATTGGAGTCATGAGCACGATTCTGATAACCGTAGCCAAAGTTATGGTTAAAATATAAAAACGTGTCAAAAAAACCCTCAATTAGGAAAGATCGTCGATTACTTGCCATTGTTGCACTAATCCGCCAACTCATGGCACCTCAGTGCCATCAACGAGTTATCGGACAACTCGGCTCATCTGACTCGGATCCTCCTACATCAGTCGCCCCGAGTTGGAAAGAACTCGCCCTCGAGTTCATATTAGTGTCATCAGAATCGACAAAACAAGGACTTAGGTGCTTCACATCAAAGACATCAGAAGTCTTCAAATAGCTAGGGAGGCGCAGTCTGTAGGCATTATCGTTGATCTTCTGCAGGACCTCATAAGGTCTAATCTTCCACTCCTTAACCTTATTATACTCCCCAACAAGAAAACGATCACGATTTAATATCGCCCAAACAAAATCACCAACTTCAAAAAGTACCTGACGACGATAACTACCAACCTGAACCTTGTACTTGGCATTACTCTTGTGAATGGCTAGCTTCACATGTTCATGAATACCCCAAAGATGTTCTGCTATCTCATCTGCCTTGTCTCAAATGACCCACACACGGAATAGGGGCTAAATCAAGTACCCAAGATGGATTCCGACCATAGACAATCTCAAATAGGCTCATTCCTGTAGTTCTATTCTTCAACCTGTTACAAGGAAATTCTGCTTGAGGTAATGTCAAATCCCACTACTTCAATTTCGTTCTTGCTAGACTCCTCAAAAGATTTTCCAAGCTCCGGTTCACCCCCTCGGTCTGACCGTCTATCTTGGGGTGGTAGGCGCTGCTAAAATTCAACTGTGTCCCCAGCTTCTCCCATAAACTTCTCTAGAAATGCTCTAGAACTTGGTGTCACTGTCCGAAGTAATTGATTGAAGAACACCTGCAAACGAGTAGCATCAATTGTTTGCCAGCAAGCTATAAAATTGGCCATCTTTGAAAACCTGTCAACCACGATGAAAATAGAATCCAAGGCCCGTTAGGTACGGGGTAGTCCCAATACAAAATCCATACAGACATCAAGCCAAATGGCTTTAGGTAGTGGTAAAGGTGTGTAAAGGCCCGCATTAACAAGAACTCTCTTGGACCGCTGACACACATAACAACGCCCTACATAACGAGCCACGTCATTACTCAATTTGGGCTAATAATAGTTAGAGGAGACCAAAGCTAATGTCTTATCTCTCCCGAAATGGCCCATGTTATGACGTTCACTAATAATTTGTTGCCTTAGTAAACAATCTGGAA